ACTAATTCATTCCTTTAGTTGTCTTTTTGTATTATTACTCAAATGTAGTTTGTTGCTATTGTTAAATGCCTTAGCATAAATGGTTAATCTGTACTTTTCTCTTGTGTGGAATTTGAAATATCAATCAAGAATACACTTGTTGAAGATACTAGAATATGAATTTACTTTACTATTTTACTCCACCTTACCCATTCATGCGGGTCCCAAGAGCGCTGTAGGTTATGAGTGTAATGAATAAGTTGCATCATATTATGTTTAGGCTATTGGAGAAAAACATGAGTATTCACTAGTCATTTGGAGAGTGATCATGTTCCAATTATGAGTATTCTGTACATTTTAACGCCGGAATGTTTATCACCCGATGCATTGTATAGTTAGCAATATACCCTCAGAATCCTCTTCAGTCCATGATTATCCTAGACTATTCATCCCGAAGTATTATCTTCGATAATAAATACTATCCCCGGAGTTGTTAGTTGATTAATTAATATATTAATTTTACCTTTAATTCATGAGTATCTCACTCGTCCCCGAAAAAGTGTTCTCTTTTTATACACATTATTGACAAATTATCCTTGACGTAAGTATTCTCTGGTTGTAATAATCCAAATAGATTATTCTAAGAGATAATTAGAAAAATATATCTTATTCTCTTATCAAAAGTATCATAGACTAGCCATCTTTTGGGTGAGTATCCTGGAAATGGTGTCCTTGGACTGAGTACCCTTAGAAAATGAGTATTCTAGGTAGGATATTCTGGGATTAGGTATATTAATGGAACACGTATCTTAGGCTACTCTATAACTGGTGAGAAGTATCTTGGACTAGTTATTCTTTGGCTATGGAGTCACTGGTCAGGTTGTACTGCACCTCCTTAAACTGGTTACCCTCAGGAATCAAGGTTTCAAGATAGAATGTGTTCTGACAATAGGAATATTCAGGAATAACTTATGTTTGAAGTCAAGCTGTACTAAGAGTATTTCTGTACTCTGTATCTCCATGGAGTGGGGTATCCTCAGTATCCTGGGTGGAATGTTTTGAGATAATGTATATTCAGGTAATAAGTACATTTGACAAGTTTCGTCCAACGTAAAGCTGTACTAGGAGTATTTCGGTATTTTATATCTCCTTGGAGTGGGTACCCTCAGTATCCTACCTAGGATGTTTTGAGAGTAGGTATTTTAAGGTAATAAGTATTTCAGACTAGTTATTTTTGAAGTCAAGCTGTACGAAGATTATTTTGGTATTCTATATATCCTTGGATTGGGTACCCTTAGTATCCTACCTAAGACGTTTTTGACAGTATTCCGGTAATGAGTCCGGAGGACCAGCTATCCTGTGTTCATTACTATCCTCTTTGCCAGGTGGTGTCCACGGCCCAGCGATGGTCGAGGGTGGGTGGCCGCCCAGCCACGCCGCAGGGACACCTTTAAGCCCTTAATCCTTATTGGCTAAACGCCCGTCAAAATAAACCCCCAACGTCTATATTCACCAAGTGGACCTCCGTGTAGTGGACTATTGTTCTTTGGCTCTTAATCTTGTTAGTTGACCTACAAAGAGAGTATGGAAAAGAATTAAACAGCCGTGATCTAAGTGGCATACTTTTCAAACTTTCTCATAAAATCCCGGAGTTACCAGATCATCCATCATATAGGTACTTTAACTATAAGCTCACAACAATTTGCTTAATGGAGAGACGATTAAGTCTTAGTTGAATTGTTTGTTTTAACAATAGTCTTTATTTTATGAATAACCATGCGAAACTAATATTAGGATTCATGGAAGGACTTTTGTCATCAAACGCGATCATAATGAAACAAAAATAAAAATAAAATCAATACATGATCACAAGCAGTATTACCAACTAAGTGACCTTTACATAATCACAATAAGTAATATTAAACTATATTAAATATTATCATAAACAGTACTAACAAGTAACTAACATAATCATCGACTAAAACTATTCACCCAGCTCTACTGTACTTCAAGAAATCATACTACAGAACACTATACTTAAGTAATCACCACGAATAACCTTATCACATACCCTCATCGGATATCACAAATATCACAATCACTTGACTCCCTAAACACCAAGATCCACCCCAGAGGAGGCCGGGGGTCAAAAAAGTGCTTAGTCTGTTATCAACCTTCTGGGCCAGTGGTTGAGGTGATTGATGGTAGTCACCCCATAAAACAGTGGTCATTAACCCCCCCCCCCCCCGGGCAATATGTTTTGGTGAATCTGCCTCAGCTGCCCTCGCCTGCACTCTCGGCAGATTGCTTTCAAACCCTAGCTTTCCTTACACTCCGTTATGTGGGTAACGGATCGTTTGAATAGTGTTTTGTAGGCCTACCTATTCAACGAAATATACCTATGCATAATCAGATGTTTTAATGCATACGCTGCTGGGCTCAAGTAGCTCTTTTTCTCCCTAGAGCGAAAAAGAATCAGCTGATATAAGGAAAAAATTGTTCCGATTAACTGAAGTACACTATCCAATTGTTATTCGAGTTTGTCTTATTTTATCATCGTGCCTTATTGTATTATTATTTCACTACAATTTATCAATTTACTCAAATCAACATTTATACAAGTTTAAATGTAAAACAATGTCCGTTTGAATTTTAATTTATTATTGTGTTGGCAGAGAAATACATGCTGCATCTTAATTAAGTGACGGCTGTTCAGACAGTGAAATTTAAATAAAGTAGGTGTACTTTTAATCCCTAGGGTAAAAAAAAACTAATTGGAGTAGAACGATTTGTGCAACTTATGAGCTCAATGGCTCAATGGTACTTTTTGAGGAAGGAAAACAATAACCTAGTTCAAAAAAGGTATTTTGCACACGCATTGTTCATTAAATTGGGTCTACAGTTATGTTACTACGTACTGTATGTGACAACTACAACATAATAACATTTTTATTCAAACATATTCACATTATTTTTATTGGTAATGCTTCCTCTCCATTTACCTGTATCTAAAAAACAGTCATTCTATTCTGAAGTGTTACCTCCAAAAGAGGATTTGCACATTTCAATAAAGTTTCAAGGATTAAACTTACAAAACGTCAAATTATAATGAAGTTATGGTTATTTCAAACTATGTAGGGACAAACTTTCCTCTAAAACCACTCTCCTGTCACCTCCATCCTGGAACAAATACTCTTTGCTAATTGTTTCTCTTCTAGATGGGTTTGAACATTTGGATCCTGGCTAATGAAACAGCTAATCTTAGAAACAAAGCTACACAGATCATCTCACTCCATCCTACACCTCTCATATTTGGGTTAAAATACACACCTATTTGGCGCCCCATCTCAATTGATAATGATAGATATTCAATGAATTAACTTAAAAATATCAAATCTATTACCTACTTTCTTTACCATCCTCCTGTGACCTCCATTCTGGATTTTTTCCTCCCAAAACATTTTGATAATACTAATAAATTTTCAAAACTATTATACTTCCAAAACGGCATGTCCATTGATTTTTGGCTTACCCTTTAGCCAGCGAAAAGTTCTACAGAATCATCCCTTCTTCGATGTCTCTCCCATCCAGGTAAATAGCATTTAAATTCCAAAGTGTTTCATCTCCAAAAATATCGTAATATTTCGATTAGTTTGCATTGATTAAACTTTCAAAATGACAATTTCCTTCACATTAATCATCCGTTGCAATTTCTGAAAGTTCTTATAATTACCCACCCTACCTCCCTATTTAGGAGATGCATCTTCCCTCTGGAGTCTCCTATCCTACAAAAACATTTTGACAAATTTGCTGTGATCCATCTGCAATGTCAAATCTATTCATATTCCGTTTTTCCCTTCAACCAGTGACAGTTTCTCCTCATTCACCACCCTCCTGACGCCTACCTCATCCTGGGAACAGGACCTCCATTCTGAAGTGTTTCCTCCCAAATATTGTGAGCCTGGAAGGGTTGAGCTGGTGACATTGTGTTGACAAACAAGCTCGCCAGCTGCCCGTGTGTGAGGTCCTGTACTTGCTGTCGTACTCACCAAAATGGCCGGTCTTTGTATACTGTATTGTCAGCCTCCCCCACTGTCAATAAGGCATTGTGAGAATGGGTCGGGATAAATGCTACTTTGGCCTTATTGAATGAACCCAACTTTTAGACACTATACAAGATTTTGGGTCTCGAACGCATTTCATTGCCACATGAGTAGGTTGAAGATTGGCAGGTGACCTAGTGGATTACAAATTTAAAAAAGTTTACTTACCTTGTTAATTATGCTGTAGATTTTCTAAATTTTTACATAAATAGTTGAGTAGTTGTGTGGTTGTTTGGTACTTTATAGCTTAAAATGAGAGCATTTTGCTGGTTCGAAATTGGATCCAAACTGTATCCCAGGATGTCTTTGATGAAAGACAAACTGCAACTGCATGTCTTTGAGTTTGTAAACTGAGTCAGGATGTCTTTGATGATAGAGGCCTCAAAAATACATACCCCAGTAAACATGCAGACTAAGCGAATATTTATATACTTGATTGACTTGCTACTATTTCCTTAAACTTGTCGGGTTGCAAGATACTAGTACAACATTGAAAACATGAAGAATGTAATTTCGTCTCAGAATAACTCTTACTAAGGCATCACTTATTCCATTTAGAACATCTTTGTCAAGTAGAGGTGTTAAGATCTTCTTTCATCTCAATTTTGCTCATTGGGTGTTCGTTCACCCGTTTGTGATAGTATTAGTGCAAGGGTCTTAAACGTCGCAACACTAAACTCAATTTTGACTAACCATTAGCTTTCAACTCGGGTTTTCTTGTGGAAACCCTGAAAAAGGAAAGTTTGCCCCTTTGTACTCACCGTTTATCCACACAAAACTCTAGGTACGCAACACGGCTTCTCCTCCACTGTTTAGTCTTTCTCAGACCAACAGTAATTTCATCACCACGACATGAACCGGAGAAACTTGCGTCACGGTGGTCCGCGTAACTCGGCAGCCTTTTCATTGAGGTGATAAATGAACGCGGTTCAGTCACCTCAACAAAGCGAACCATCAGTGGCTCTCGACTCGTCTATTAGTGAAGGAATGCTGGGACAGACCGCCTCGGTGAATAGTCTAAACAAACACCAGCAGACGGCTTCCTACCGCAAAGGGTGATGAAGAATGAGAGAGTACGCAGCGAGTGCTGAGTATGCAAGAAGCTCATTTCATCTGAAATTTCGAGGGAGGCAATCCAGTTGTTGAGTACAGTTTTCTATATGAAATCCTAGTGCTTTGGTTCAAGTGCTGAGTGTCATCATTTAATTTTTGTATACCGGAATTGACGTCTCGTATAAATAAACCAGCTGCAAAATTAAAATATTAACTTTTGAATTTCGAAATAGATAAGTATACCTAAAGAAGTAGAAATTCCAAACCTATGATAAAGTTTCAGCCAGTTTGCAATGTAAAAAATAACTCAGTTTAAATTACTTTCCGACGGTATATTGTCACTGTACAGAAATCCGTTTTCTTTTCACAGAATTTTGAACTTGTAGAACTGAAAGGGCAATTCATTGGAAACTAACTATGCATGGTTTTTATCTCCAGCAACTGTCATCGTATGGAAAAATTCTAAGATAAACTCACTCTATGATAGGCTCATTCGAATAAACCTACCTGATATTCTCTCTCAGTAAGAAATCAACTAAATCTGTTTCACATAGACATCATGACGACTTCAGTGCCCATCAGCAAAATCTGGTCCATATAGACGGATCAGTGTCTTCTTTGGTACCAGAGTTAATACTTTATTATCTCTTTTTTTAGAAAACTAAACCATGTCGTGTCCAAATAGATCTCCACTCTAACACCCAACAGTTGTCCTTATTCACATAATTCGAAACTCTATGCCATTGTTTAAAAATCATACTTTTCATATTTGGAACCTACGTCAATTCGGAAACCCTTTAAAGGATTTCCCCTATCTCAACTCTAACCACTTTCACCCAGTATGAAGTCGCTAAACAAATCGTTCGCTCGCGTGGCTGAGAATATTCAGGTCGACAAATCCTGCAATCGAGAGGGGATGAGACTAATAACAATCGATCAATCAGTCTAATAGGGTATAAACGACGTGGGGGTGGGGGAGGGGGCAAGATGCGTGAACGCAGCTGACTAGAACAAACAGCTGAGGTGAATCACTGGACACCTGGGGAGGTAATTGCCACAAGCCCTCTTCTTTGTCTCACACTCAAACAAGGCCTAGATACCTGTGGAAACAAATTGGACAAATTTTGCTTACAGTCCCTAGTTTCAAGCACGTAATTGACATATATTTAGAAACAAGTCATAAGGCTTAGTCACTGGATACTTCCTTCTCGGATACTGTACTATCGATACTACAACAAGGCTATTTGGGCTACTACTAGATATCGGATCATCTAGATTTTGACGCTTATTGGATAAAGATTTCAATAAGGTAAATATAACCAAGTGCGTATTGTAAATCTTGTTAGCTCCTTTAAACCCCTCAAAAGCTAATTTATAGTGTAAATGTAGAAGACTACACCCAGAACAGTAATAATAAAAGCAAATCTAAGAACTTTACCCCATGTTATGGATTAAAACACGCATGAACAATAAATTATTTTAGGGTCAAGGGTAACTTTTGTTGGTATTGCTTAAACATGAAATTTGTATACATACACATTTTATTACAAGCCACCAAATCCACTTAACAAGCTATTTAAAATTTTTGTTTCATCTGTATACTAGTAGTTGGCATGATGTTAATGTGGTATAATGATCTTTGGAATGATATTAGATTAAAATAATCCAGAGTGCCTATTCCGTCACTTCCTTCCAGGGCTGTAGGAATGTTGCTATCTGTGTATTTCAGCCAATATGATTTCATAAGCTCTCTACCCCATCTCCAACATTCGATCTTGGTGGCTTTTGGTAGGGGCTAAAGAAGGCTTGGACATATAGGGACTGAAAATTAAATACAACAGTACCAGAAAATAGGAAAGCGATATTTGGGGAAATAACCCTTGAAAAGTAAACAAAACCATTAATCTGCGGAATCAACAGACATATGATAAGGGAAATGAACCAGCCGCACTAGAATTAATTTTCAAAAGGTTTTCTTCCATCTAGATGATTACGAAGACAAGCAATCAAAACAAAGCCTTGGCAGTTAGTTCTAAAATCACAAGCCTTGACAACCCACCAAATAATGGCAAGCACTGGATGATTATAAACGTGTTAAGTGAAAATTTGAGTGAAAAACCTGTGATTACGGTGAACAACGTTTTATTTTAAATTTGTTCAATGAACTGGACGCCCTGCAGACCCAAATTGAAGAATTTGGGTAAAACGTCTCTATTTTATATTGCATCTTGATCAAGTAATGGATTTCATTGCTACACTAAGGTATGAGGTTGATTCATTCTTTTTATTGACTGCAAATTTAAGTAGGGGTTTAAAAGTAAGTATACATTTGATAACATTTGGATTACACAGTAAGGGTATTTTTTCACCTAGATTGCATGTATCTTTTTTTTCTTTACTTGTTATACATGTTATTGACATGATCTATTGCATGATTGTATGGCATCTGTCCATTTATCTTTTCATATTAAATCAAATACACAAGGATATAGTTTTTTAAATCAGCATCATCGTCATCACACCGTACTAGGTAGCTTCAAACGAGCCCTTATCTAAATTTTGAAAATCAAACTAAGCCGTTAAATTAAGTTTTGATTCTAAAATCATCTTCCACGTCCTCTTCCTGTTGCAAATATTAGGTATATCAGGTTGGTGCCTATTAGTTATACATTTAAATAATGTGAATGACCACTGATACATGTCATTTCATCTAAAGCAGGGGTCTGCATTGAACCCTGTGGTCAGTCTGTTCCCATGGGCGCGGAGTCGAAGGTGCTGTGGGTAATCTGGCGAGTATCCTGGCTAAACGGATTGTATCTGGGTATACAGAGGTGTCGGACCGTGTCACTTCCGTTGCTTTGACCAGGTAGAGTCGACCACACACCTGGCCAGCCGGGCCGAGCCCCAGACTGCGCGACGCCGAGACACAGAACACAGGTGGCAGCGGAAGTCGTCAATGGGCGACTGTGAAGAGCTTGGGCCCTTGGTGCATTCCGGGGAAAAAACTTGTAGTATCCTTCAGGTTGTTGATTTATTAGCTACGGAGAATGGGAATTCCGTTCGAGTGGGCGAGGGTGTTATGGTGAAACGGCGAGAGGTGGAGAAAATCAAAAATACTGTGGAATTATATTTTTTATACGTGAATTGAAAGAATAGCTGATATTAAGGCTGAGGTAGGCCTAAGAAGTGGAATACCACTATTAAAACGATTGATCACATTGACAACAAGATCTTCCTTGCCATTGTCCGTAATATTTGAATGCAGACATTGACTACCTATATGGTGTACAGCCAATACTACACAGACGCTTTGAACTGTTCTTTCATTCCTGTATTAAAATTGAAGTTACAATTTAAATTCTAAACAGTTTAATTGAGGACTGACAGAGTGCACTCCTGTAAAATGCAGATTTTTTTATTCAACATAACATGCTAAGCCAAGCCTGAGGTACAGGCTGTCAATAGTAGCATCATTTATGTCACAATATCACAATAATCAAAAATAATAGGTATCGTAGTATCAAAAGCTAAATAAGAAAATTGAATTTTGCACGGTTATGTGTGAGTGGCTTATTGAACCAGGTCTTATTTGAAATAAAAAATGGTTACAATATAATAGTATATAAATTTATTCAGCATTTTGTATTTTACTCAGGCAATGCAACAGTTTGAAATACAAACCTTATGTTCAAAATAATTGTGTATGCATCAAATTTTTAAAATAGTTCAGTGACGTCACTACTTAATTATTCTTAGACAAGGAAACTATACAAAGTAAAAAAGAAGTGGTAAAGACTACAACACAATCGCTGCACTCGTACGTACACTATACAATAACTTCTAATCCCCTTTCAACATGTATAACATAAGGGTTGAGTCTAGTGACGTCAGCACGTACTCCTGGTATATTAAAACGTCTCCGGACGAAGGGCGAATGTAAGGAGAGAGAGTTTGTAGAGGACGGGGCGGTATGATCACGCAGTGGTAATCCACTTTGGCCAAGGCAATATTACCTCCCCCCTCCCATCAAACACCCACTACCCCCCCCCCCTCTCATCCCCCGGCAGAGATTACAGCGAGCAGATGGACGTCGACATTCATAGGTTATTAAAACCGCCAATTTGCACCCATATGGGCTTTAAATTGGTGTTGAAAGGATAAAGCTTAGCTCCCAAAGAAAGATTGATGATCTGGTTGATTGAAGTCGGATTTTAAGGGAGATTTTGTTTACAAGAGATATAAAATAGATTTGTTTCCAATGAAGAGTTATCGTTCTTTGTTGGTGTATCAGGAGTAATTGTATACGTTAATACAACTTATGCTTTTGAGGTTGATTATGTATTTGAGAAAAATGTTCATAGACGTTTAATAGAATTTTTCTGTGGCTAACATACCTAAAGGTTTGAGGAAATAGAGCTCAATGGAAACCTATCCGCCTTTATGTGTAGCTTAAACATATTCTCTTGTATATTTCATCCATGCAGATCAGCTCATACAGTATTTGGGTATATTTCTGTCCATTAAGCATTAGTGTCTATTTTTTATTTGTTGCCAAATAAACTGTTACTGTATTTTTCTTTTAAAGCACACTAACCTATTTTACCCAACAACGCAAATATTTTTTAAACACTAATGATTGCATAGTAAAATAAAGAACATCTTTGTACCTAAAACTGACTTTTCCATTTTGTTACATATACAAGTAAACAGTACATTTAATATTTAGTTATTTTTAGACGATATCGTGTTTTGGGGTCATTTCGTACTTTGGGCTTATGAAAAAATATTTTTAATGCATAGGTACAATCCTTGGAAAGGCTTATTCCCACGAGGGGGAAAATGGGTCATTGGATAAAAAATAACTAACTCGAATAATAATCAATCACTAAATTAATTATATTACTTTAAACTCATTAACAAAGGCAAATCAAAGGCAATCGTTATCATCTGTGCGTTATCATCTGTGATTGGATTTCAATTCAAACTTTATTTTGAAAATCCCACAAAACATCGCAAGCCACATTGAATTCGATAAAGCAATATATTATTCTAATATATTTTAGATTCTAATACGGTATATCTTTTGGTGGAGCGAGCTGGTCTAGTGGATAGGACGTGGAACTTCGGTCCCGGGTTCAAATCCCACCAAATCACAAATGGATTTCATCTAAGTGATAATGCCATAACCCCTAGGTCTGGCCTGAACCAATGTGAAAAACAATCCCAGTCTCGTGCCTGGCGTTCTAGGAAAACAAATATTTTAGATTCAATAACCACAGGAATTTATTAATTGGATCAATCTGAATGTTAAAATAAAAAAGTTGTAAAATTTAATATATTGAAACGTTTGAAACTTGTTATTCTGATAAAGATTAGAAACGTCAACCATGAATGAAAATTAACAAGCTTAACATTTCCAGTTTAATATTCTAGTTACACAATATTCGCTGAAATAGTTCACTCAAATACAAAAGGATTCCTAAGTTCAGCAGACCACTTTAGAACTCGATTTTTCTTTCCAAATTGAAAAAGTAAAGAGGGGAAGGGAATAAGGAGCTCTGGGTACCTCGTAAAGACATGTTACTAGGAGTTGCTGCTCTCTGCAAGAGAGGGAGATATCTCACAACGTATGTTGGTATGTGTGTGTGTGTGTGTGTGTGTGCGTGTGTGTGTGTTACATTACCGTGTTCAGTCGTCTCATAACATCGCACCATTTATAACAATCTGCGGGTCTTGGCAAACTAATGAAAATGAATGATGGGGTTGCCTTGATTGAATTGCTGCCCGTTAGCAGGCAAATACACGTAGATCCCTCCCTCGCCTAATTTGACGACACAAACTACCCCTGATAAGCCAGGGTATTGTTAGGGGTTATTGTAGACTTCCCGCTCTCTGATGTGTTATTCAACCGGCGCTTTTACGAAGTAGCTTTTCATGTAACGTTTCATTAACGCTCCCTTTTGTATAAAATCTACACTGTTGTTTTAAGTTATGGCGGCATATATTGTTTGAGGCCAGATACATTTCGGTTTTAACGAAAAGTGAAACTATCTAACAACTTGTAGTTTCATGCGATGTGAACTATCACTGCATGTTAAAAATCAATTGAATGGCATTTTATTAACTTTACCCACAACCGTTTTTTTAAGTAGCCGTTTCAGTTCAGTTCTTAGATTTGAAAAGGTTCTCATAACAGCATTGTTTACTTACATTACAGGGTAGTTTTACTTGACAACACAGTTACAAAATAGGTTCAAGGATTGAGAGAGAAGTACAATTGTAATTCTTCGAACTTCAACTAATCAGCTATTAACTAATTTAATTGTTAATGATTGGTGCATTAGTTGTTGCAATACTGTAAGTGTCAATGAGAGATTATAAACGAAAACATAAAATCTCTTAGTAGTGTTGAGTAGATTATTATATAGTAATTTAACACCAGTCGTAGGCAAACCATCGATATATGTGTTTGTTATATATCGATGAGGCAAACTAGTGTACGTAACTCGCGTAACGTAAAGGATTTCTACTCGTAGGCCTATCGTCGTATTTACGCGATCGTTGCGTAAAGTACTACCAGGCGATTGTACTGATATTTAATTTGATTATGGTGTTGAAAGAAATATTTTCAAATTGATGTATTATTATAGGTCCAATAAATTTCGTGATTTACGTTTAACATTTTAAACCAAGGTAGATACAAATCTGCCTAAGCGTTTTAAAGCCTTTAAAAGTATTACATTGAGAGCAAAACGTGGAATTAAGTAATATCTTTGTAATATACAGTCGTTGAATCAATTTACAAAATGAGTAGATATAAATAGGCATTACTGGTGTGTATATTCTACATGTAAACTTATCGTACTGTTATCAGCTAGATTGGAAAATGCCAGTAATAATTTTCCAATCTAGCTGATAAATTTAATATTTCTTATGGCCCGCTCTGTATCTTGTGGTTGTTTTAAAATTTAAATGGGGTTTAGAAATGTTTTTTATACATCTTCTATCAAATTACTCGTTTATGAGTTACATTGCATTAAACCTCAGAAAAAATACTTGCTGTGTATATTCTGCAACACGTAGCTCCTAAGAATATGCATAGAGTAAATAAGTCTTAAAATTGCATATACATCCTTAAAAGATCATAAAATAAACAGTATTCCAATTTTAAAGGGGCATTTTGTTGATACTCAGACATACTAATTCTTCAGAAGAGGGCGGTTACGATTGGTCCGATTCAGGCTGTTTGGACATGTAGGCCTTAAGCTAGACAATTAGAGATCCTTACAGTCAGAATATTTATAGATTTTTAACCATGCTGTAAACAATGCTAGAAGATTGTAGCACAAGAAGGAATCAATGTCACCATATTACCCATAGAGTTGTTGATTTAGGCATACTACGATGTCATCTTAGTGTGTCACAACGTGCCTATCCTCAAACGCAATGCACCTAGAAGTCATTAAGAGAGAAATGCAAGGAGTAAATAAGTCTTAAAACTTTATACTTGAGATACCTAAAATACACAGTATCCCAATCTTCAAGAGGCATTTTGTTGATACTCAGACCTACTAAATCTTCAGAAGAGGGCAGTTAGGATTGTGTCCAATTCAGGCTGATAGGACCTGTAGGCCTTTAGCCAGAGACTTGAAGATCCTTACAGTTTTCTTCAGAATGTTGTTAGCTTTTAACAATGCTGTGCTAAAAGGTTTCAGGACAAAAAGGAATCAACATGACCACACTACCCGTAGATTTGGACATACTCGGATATCACCTTAATAGAGATATACAGGATGGGACACACCACTATTCGGGCAATAAATAGCTCCTCCCATTTGACGCAGTCTATCCTATATGCATTAGTCACCGAGGAAGACGATAAGTATTACAAGTATTTAGGTACAAATACCGTTAAACAAGCTGGAGCTGAAAACAACCAAAAATATCTTTGGTAAACAATACAAGCTTTACACATATTAGTTAACA